TTCAGTGACTGGAATTAGGATAATCCTTCACAGGTATTCTCAGAGGCCATCTCTCAAGTGATTCTAGATTGTGTCAGGTTGACAAATAACACAAACGATCATAGCCTCCTTTCTCACTTGGACAGTGTCTGTGGCCCATGAGGAGGGACACCATCAGCAGGTGGCCCAAATCTGGACCCTCCAGCACCATCCACAAAGACAAAAAAAAAATGCCATTTACAGGACTGAGCCAACAATAATCATCATGTCAGCCTGCTGGTGGCCCCTTTCCCCACAAAACTCTTAACACAGCACTGTTCCAAGGCAGATAAAAATAGCTTTGGATCAAAGAGGTAGTTTCCTCATTCTGTCTCTGAAGACAGATCAGTGGGCTGGGCTCATGTGGGCAAATCCATTTCTTTTTTCCCCTCTTGGCAGCAGCTTCCACATATTCTCTCCTTGAGCACAGAAGAGCCTGCCAATGTTGACATCCAAGGCTGAGATCATAGGCTCCAGTGTAGCTGGGAGTCAACCCACTCCCAGCCGGCTAGGTCTGTGCTAGCGTTTTTTGCAGACAGGCGAGCTAAGCCGAGGCAGCAACAGCTGCTACTGTGGAGAAGTCTACCTGCTGAGGTCAACGCTGGTGACTAATGATAGTGCCCTTGTCTATTAGTCCTGTGGCTTGCAACTCTGCAGATCCTGGCACCACCTTCATTCTATAAGTGGGGAAACCACGGCTGGGAGGGGCCTTTTCATTACCAGTAATCTTCAGTATACAGCTGTAAGTTCAACCACCCTATCTCAGTCAGTGTTCTATTGCTGTGAAGAGACACCATACCACACAACTCCTACTGAGGAAATCATTTAATTGGGGCTGTCTTACAGTTCCAGAGGTTTAGTTCATTATCATCATGGCGGCACACGGGCAGATTTGGTACAGAAGTAGCTGAGAATCTACCTCCAGATCCACAGGCAGCAGGAAGAGAGCGACTCTGGGGCTGGCTTATACTTTTGAAACCCCAAAGCCCACCTCCACGTGACACTCTTCCTCCAACAAGTTCATACCTGCTCCAACAAGGCTGCACCTCCTAATCCTTCTGAAATAGCACCTCTCCCTAACGACAAAGCATTCAAATATATGAGCCTATGGGGCCATTCTTACTCAAACCACAACACACCTCCAGAAGCTTGACATCTTTCTCCTGCAGCCTGGGGGTCTTTAGGACTATACATTTCACATCAAATAGCTTGAGTTGATACCTGTCTCCTCATTACAAGGTTGTAAGTGTATTGTCTTTAGTTTCTGCCCATAGGCATGGGTGTGAGTGGAGTCTGGGGCCACAGACCATGCCCCCAGAAGGTAGACTGCCCACTTGAGTCCACCACAAGTGTTGGGCACTGGACCCTCACTTTTTCCGCTGTAGGCTTAGCTCTGAGGCCCACGTCCCAGTGGTTATGAAGGTTAGCTGAGCTGTTCCCAGTGTTGCCTTCAGTGTTTGTGCCGCTATCACCACAAATGCCAATGAGCAGAGACAAGCATTGAATCTTTACATTGGGCTCTGTTCAGAGAGCTGGCCATCAGAGAGGGCAGCATGTGAACATCTCTTTGAAATGCCTCACTTTTCACCTGCAGCCAGCAGATTATATGGAGTTACAGGGACGGAAGCAGTCAACCACTCCACAGCTCAGGATTACCCCCTCTGGTCAGGTGATGTGATAGCTTATGTTAATTCTCAACTCAGCAGAATCTGGAGTCACCAGGAAAGGAGTCTTAATGGGTGATTGTCTAGATGAGGTTGGTTTCTGGGCATGCCTTCAGGGAGATCTTAAGTGTGTGTGTGTGTGTGTGTGTGTGTGTGTGTGTGTGTGTGTGTGTGTGTGTGTATGAGTGCCATATCATGTGTGGAGGTCAGAGTACAACTTGTAGGAGTCAGTTCTCTCCTTTGCTCGTGTGGGTCCAGAGAATGGAACTCAGATCACCAGACTTGTCAGTAAGGACCTTTACCTACTAAGCTCACTGCACCGCCACTTTAAAATAATTTATGAAAGGTTATCTTGCATGCATCAACTGAGATGGCAAGACCTGCCCACTTCAAATGGCATCATTCCAAAAGAACGGAATCCTGTAATGGAGAGAGGGCGCTGAGGGCATGCAGGCACTCGCCACTTCCTATTCCTTCTTATGGATGTGCTATGGAGCATTTGGATGTGACCAGTTCCCTCAGTCTCCCCAATATGACAGACTATAACCCAGAACTATGAGCCAAAAATAAGCATTTTCTCCCCTAAATTGCTTTGTCAGTGTATTTGATCACAGCAACAAGAGAAAATTCTAAGACAGGTGGACAGCCACATATCAGACACTGGTGGAGAAAGTCATTTATCAGAGACAGGTGGACAGCCACATATCAGACACAGGTGGAGACAGTCATTTATCAGAGACAGGTGGACAGCCACATATCAGACACAGGTGGATAGCCACTTATCAGAGACAGGTAGACAAACACATATCAGACATAGGTGGACAGCCACATATCAGACACAGGTGGAGACAGTCATTTATCAGAGACAGGTGGACAGCCACATATCAGACACAGGTGGATAGTCACTTATCAGAGACAGGTGGACAGCCACATATCAGACATAGGTGAACAGCCACATATCAGACACAGGTGGACAGCCACATATCAAACACAAGTGAATAGTCACATATCAGAGACTTATGTCTCTCTTCACTATGATCTCTTGAATTTTCCCCTCCTCTGAATGTCTGGGCTAGGTCACTTCTAGAAACACTGAGTCTAGCTAGTGTCTGCTAGTGTCAACCTTGCATTCCTCCAAAGCATCTAAACTGTCAGGGATTGGATTTTTAAACGTAGGTTCTGAGTGTCAAACTCCAGTACACATGTTTGTGTACTTTACCCAGCGAGCCATCTCCTCGGACCAAGGTCAACATTTCTAGATTGCACATATAAGTGATATGGCTTCAGAGACCTGCTTTGACATTTGTCTTCCTGTACCCAGAAACATTCAATTTTCTGAGGACCAACCATGCTGGGTCCATGCCAGGTCATAACATGACAGTATAGTTGGACTTTCTCTTGGGGACCACCAGCTCCCCAATAATGACACAGAGACTTATTATTAATTATGAAAGCTTGGCCTTAGCTTAGGCCTGTCCCAATAGTTCTTATAACTCAAATGAACCCGTTTCTATTGACCCACATTCTGCCACATTGTTCAGTTATCTCTCCTCTGTACCTTATGCCTGACTTCTCCAGGGTTTCGCTGGTATCTCCTCTCTCTTCTTCTAAGAGTCCTCTCTATCCGTGCAAGTCCTGCCTATTCTCTCCTGCCTAACTATTGGCCATTCAGATCTTTAATAAGCCAATCACAATGACACTTCTTCATGCAGTGTAAATAAATATTCTGCATTTCCTCCTTTTGTCTAAATAAAAAAGGAAAGGGTTTAACTCTAACACAGTAAAACTATATATGATAAGAACAATTATCAGATAAGAATTACATTCACAATATCTAGTCCATTGGTATTTGGCAAATTTGGAGAAACTACTCTATTATCTATCCTGTCTTAATGAGTCCAAAGATTTGTACCTAAACCACTTTCTGTAATAACTTGTATTACCATCCTAAAAATACCTTTGTAGACCTTAAAGCATTTTCTTAGATAAACAACTTTCTTTTATGTCTCTCAACCTTATAAACTTTACATCTCTTTTTGTAATTTTCTTTTCTGAATTTGGTAAGAAGTAAAACAGCATAGCTATATAGTCTTCACCCCCATCAGTGACCCAAGAAGGATATACTTTTACTTGAATAAACAGAAAGTACGAGCAAACAACTTCAAAACCTATAGAAATAACAGAGACATCTGGCTGCCTGGATAGTCACCCAAGATTCCTCTACAATGTTGGGGTATCCATCTTTGACCTAAAGGCCTATAATCTCTGACAGACTTTTCTGTGAAGCAGGAATTTTGTCCTACCTTGTCTTAGCAAAGTTTGTCAGTCCCCTTTTGTATCCTGCTCATCCAGTTGTCCAATTGCCAGCTGTCAAGGCAAGGGCAGTTTCTTGCCCAGTGTCTATCTTTGCCACAAATGAAAGCAAACTCCATATGGAGGTTTTTTGATGTTCATCATCCTTTTTTTGAAGCAAATTGGTTCTGCCAGGAGCATATGTCATGAAAAGTCTTATGTTACTAAGACATCTTAAATGCCATATTCTGTAGATCTCTGAAGTGTTTGAAGACCATCTATCTATCTATCTAAAATATATCTCTATTTGACCTTTAAAACATACCTAACAAGGCTACAAATTCTATTGTTAGATGACTATTAATCTGTATTTCTTAATTATCCTAAATGGTTTGTAATAATAAATTTCTAGTAGAAATTTACATTACATAGGTACAATAACCTTGAGCACGAATAGAAATATATAGAGAGCATAACAAAAATAACCTTGTATTTCCATCAATATTCAGAACCCTGAATGTGTGCTCAGGGAGCCTGGTCAACCAGAACAAGGATGAAGACATACTGGCCACTGCTTGAGAAGCCCCAGGGACAGGGGCTTCGAAGAACAATCACCTCAAATGCCTGCAACCATCTCTGGAAGTTGAGTTGGGATTGCCTGATGAAAGGTGTGAATGAGGTAGGTTTCACTTGGTCCAGGATCAGACCTGAAGCTGAGGTGTGTGATGTGTGAAAAGGAAGTGATGTGGTTCTTTGTCAGAGGTCTCGGGTGTCAGTGCCTGCTGAATGTGCAAGTGGGTGTGTCCTGGAAATGCTGACTATGGCTGGGATGACAGAGTTAAGAATGTCCATGAAGGTGTAGCTCAAAAGTGCATCTATTCACACCCCCGGGGGGTCTGAGACAAGTCTGACTATATAAGTGAGTTAGGAGAGGACTTGGCGAGCATGACCCTAAGGTCCTAAGTTCCATTCCCAGCACAAACAGGAAGGGAAGGCAGGGAGGGCACAAAAGGAAGGAAAAGAGGCTGAGACAATGGCTCAGTGGGTGACGTGTTCGCCACCCAAGCATGAGGACCTGGGTTTATATCCCCAGCACTCAGGTAAAACCAAACACAGTAACACATCTGTAAACCAGTGCTCCCACAGCAAGGTGAGAAGAACTGGAGAACTGTGATCCAGCTAGCCTGGCGGGGGCAGCAGTGAACAAAGAGATCCTGACATGGCTGCCCCGTATATGGTCCTTTTCTTGGTGGCTCAAGCAAGATGCACCGTCCTGGGCTTTCCCATCTAGAGTTATTGACTTCTTCTTCTAAATATGTCCCTTGATGTGTGTGCATGTGTTTGTGTGGGTGGGTGAGAGCATACATATATGTGAGTTGACCTTTTGTCTCCATACACATGTGCAGAGGTCAGAGGTCAACATCAGGTGCTTTTCTCCCTCACTCTCCACCGTATATATGGCTGAGCTGCCTCCCAAGAGTGGTGTGTGTCGCATTCCAGAGTTTAGGGCAGTACCCTGAAGGGAACAAGAAACCAACCAAGGCTGTTTTCAGTCATTCCATTCAGAGAGCTTGATATGTGCAAATTACAGATGCTAATCAGGTCTGATTTCCTAGTTTGCTTTGCTTTTGTGTGGAAATGCCTTCCTTGGCGGTGGTGTTTTGTTACAAATAACATATGCTAGTTAAAAAAAAAAAAATCCAACCATCTAGAAAATGAGTTAAGTGGAGAATAAATTTCTCCTTAAGGGAGAGAATGAAGTACCATCTCCAAAGTTGACCTTTGCTTAGGTACATCCTTTTCAACAGTTTCTTTACATTTGAATTTTTATTGGATGTATTAAATGCATTGCTCAGCCCCTGGCTTTCCCTTTGTGTGTCCATGTATGATGTGTCAGTGTGTGTGTGTGTGTGTGTGTGTGTGTGTGTGTGTGTGTGTGTGTGTTTTTGTGTGTGTGTGTATGTGTTGTGTGTGTGTGTGTGTGTGTGTGTGTGTGTGTGTGTGTGTGTGTGTGCGTGTGTAAAGCACATGTGCAAGCACATGTATGGAAGCCAGAGGACAATATCTGATGTCCTCTACCTTGTTTTCAGCCTATGACTGAACCAGTGCACCCTGTTACCAGTGTACCCAGGATGACTGGCCAATATGCCCCAGGGACCCTCGTGTCTCTGCTTCTCTGGCACTGGGATCACAGGCATGGGTCGTTGTGCCTGGTTTTGTGCGTGGCTTCTGGGCTTAGAGTCTTGTGCTTACACAGCAAGCACTTTGTTGACTAAAGTGTCTCCCCAGCCCACACCCACCCCCATCTGTTTTTTATACCCAGCAAAAACAGACATCTTCCCATTGCACAGAGTGAGCGGTTTCATTATTTCAAAAACCTTTGCAAGGTCTGCCATGCACATTACAGACGTTTCCAACTTGCTTGTCTGTTTCTCTGAGTGACACCAGCTGAGACGCTTGTGTACATGTATCGCCTTGGCACACAGGAACATGCATGCTTAGAACTTCCAGGACATGGTCAATGGCAAGCACACTTGAACTGCTAATGACAACTTCCACAGTTTCCCTTAAAATAACAATGCAACATTGCTGGTATTATATAAGAGTGGCTTTCAGTTTTTACCAAGCCAATAAAAAACATGGTTTCCTGTGGGGATGGTGGTAGGGAGGTGTTTATGTGTGGGAGAGAGTAGATGGGAAATCAATCTATTCATTTACAAATCTGAGGCATGGTCACTCTTATTCTCAATGTTCCACGTGTTCCAGACTACCTGGCCTGCAAGCTTCCAATTGATTCTCGTGTCTCTGCTGCTCATCTCATCATAAGAGTGCTGGGATTTCACCACTCAGGTGGCTGAGGGATTAACTCATTAGGTTTGCACAGTAAGCCCTTTCTTTACCCTCTGAATCATCTCTCTGACCCCTACTCTCATCTTCTCAACAAACAGGGACTCAGATTCTGCTGTTCCCCTTTTTACAAATGGAGTAACCAAGTCACACAGAGGTTAAACAAGTGACCCAAAGTCACACAGCTTATGAGAAATTAATCTGTGATGTATAATACTTTAATGTACAAGACCTTAACCTTTTCTTTGTTCATTCTTTTGGCGCCTGCACCTTTCATAGACAAAGTTCATGTCTTTCAGAGGACTGGCAGACCTAAGGGGAAAAGCTTAGTGCTACAAAATGGGGTGTATGGAGAAGAACAGCACAGGACCAGGACGGGGTGGAGTCGATGTAATTCAGCAGTGACCAGTGTTACTGATGGCACCATGTGAACAGAGACTAGAAGGAGATGGGAGGCAACACTGAGGACATCGGGGTGCTCTAGAGTGTGGTCCTTCTAGCAAATCAGCCACACCTTATCAGAATACTTATCAGAAACCCCTACAGTCTAGCTTCTTGGCTGCTGATATTCCCTCATAGACGGTAGAAAGGTCATTAGTTGCCCCCTCCTGTATCTCACAGCCATTTGTATGTAATTCTGCCCTAATTTAATGTATGTCTCAAGAGGTACTGGAGTATAGAGATTGGGGAAGGTTAACTGAAGGAGTAACTCCATTTATGTGGCTATGCTGGATGGAGATTTTCCAGTATGGCTTACTTCTGTAAACAAGCTCTTACCCATGGTCCATAAGTCAGCACAATAACCTCATTGATTCCACATTGTTTTTTGGTAAAGTCATATTTTGATTTGTTGTTGAGGCCTTATAAGGAGGTGGTAGGCATCACTTTGCATCTTCCCAGAGAAAGCATTTGTACAATGGGGATCATGCTGTCATGTTTTCAGATTCCACTGGAGCACTCTGAGCCCCTGTCCTTGAGCTTTTGACTTAGCATGTGACCCTCTGCCCCTTTATCTGTAAAAGTCATGGAGTCTGTTTGAGAAAGAGACTCCATGACCCTCACAGTTAGCAGCCATACTGGAAAATCTCCATCCAGCAAGGATGATAGCTTCCCCATAGCCACATAAATGGAGTTCCTCCTTCAGTGTCCACAAGGGTCCCCTCGCTGGACTGGGCTTCCCATTTTGATTCTACAAGACTTGGCCTCAACCAGACCTGCATGGTTCCCATTTCTGATAGCTCTGGGAGCTGGTCCTTAGAAATCCACACTTCTCAGTCTGCAGACAGAGACTCAGGGAAGCTGACTTGTATCTTAGGTAAATGCCTCCTGAGAGACCTTGATAGGGTAGGGGGGGAACAACTATCTTAAAAAAAAAAAAAAAAAAAAAAAACCAGCTTCTCGGTAGTTCTATGGCTAAATTTCAAAGCTCTGCCTCTCACAGTACCAAGGACTGTAAGACATTAGGGAAGACACGTGATGGTCAACACTTCCCAAAGACTAAAGACCAAGGTTAGCATGACAACAAAAACCTAAAGCCACAGCTTACCTCATCCTAAACCCAGTGGCCAATATGTTGGGTGGCTCACACTTGATCCAGAAGAGCTGACTTACATTTCCAGGAACATATGAGTTAGTTGTTCAATGCAGCCATTGTTGAGAATTAAATTATATGGGTAAATCATATTAAACCAAAATCAATAATTGTTTTACCACGTGTCCTAGTTTTATTTCTGCTGCTGTGTCAAAAAGCAGTTTATGGAAGAAGGGGTTTGTTGGCCCTATGGTTTCAGAGGGTTCCAGGCTAATGAGAGACCTGTCTTTTAAAAATTGGGGTAGGGGGTGCCTGAGGAACAACGCCTAAGGTTAACCTTTCACCTCCACACCTCCTTTTTCCTCTCAAGGTGTTCCATAGCACCTCTGTGGAATCTTGTGACAGGTTCTACCAAAGTGTCATAGCTGTAAAGCAGTATTGGGCACCTATCACGCGCTAGGAATTGATTGGGCAGCAGTAAGTTAGCCACGCCCATGTTAGGTGGCAGGGTAGAAGAGTGCCTAAGACCTATGCTTCTCTTTTTCCCCCAGAGGCCAGAAGCACCTGGGGGAAAAAGACTGGAATGAGTACTTACACGAAGCACTGCAGATTCCCACTCTCCTGCAGGACCCCAAGCCTGCTGGTGATGACCCCATACATGACCCTGGGCCAACAGTGCCCCCAGTCTAAGGAAGGTCTGAACAAGACTCCTTTTCCAGTCCATAGTGAGGAGTAGAGGAGGCCAGAGGGACAGAGATGAGAAAGAAGCCCAGACCCCTGGTGGGTCCCAAGCTTGCAAAGAGCATGTCATTATCCTTCCGAGTTACCTCTTAGGCTCATAATAAAGCCAGGACCATATGACAAAGCTGCTGCCAATCCTACAGGTGATAGTTAACCTTGTCAACTTGAGAGGATCAGGAAACATGTGGGAGACAAGCCTCTGAGATGTCTGTGAGAGTTTCTGGTTGATTGAACTAGGGTAGGAAGACCCACACCCACAATTGCGTGTGCTGGGGTCCTGAACTGAATCAACAGGAAAGTGTGAGCTGGGCAGCAGCATTCGTCTCTCTACTTCCAGACAGCAGATGTCATGTGACCCGCTGCCTCACAGTTCTACTGCCATGCTTTCCAACTGTGATAGATTGTCCCCTCGAAGTGTGAGCCAAATAAACCCCTCCTCTCTCAAATGAACTTTGTTGGGTATTTTGTTGTATCAATGAGGAAAGTAACTGGTAAACCACCCCAATTCATTTCCACATAGAGAACCACCACACTGTGATGACATTTGCCCACTGTCGAGAGCAAGACAAATGACTGTTTCCTCTTCAGACCCAGCAGAGACAAGAACGTGCTGGACAAAGTCACTCAGAACTCAGCCCTCTGAGGAGAAAGGGCTTGATGCAAAGCAGGGAGTGGGTGATGAACCCTGGGACCAATCAAGTAAGGTTATGATCCTCCTATGTGCAAGCCCCAGACCTTCAGTAATGACCCAACCCCCCCCCACCCCCACTGATGAGGCCTGGAATGCTTCGTGGCAGCCCCTCCCTAAAGATGTTCATGTGATAGAACGACAAAGCAGTGCTGTGTGTGTGTGTGTGTGTGTGTGTGTGTGTGTGTGTGTGTGTGTGTTGTTTTTACATTCTGCCTC